TGCAAGGGACGGAAAAGTAAAGTTTTACTTAATTACATTAAGTAAAAGCTAAAGAAGGCTGTGGGTGTAGTAGTGCCTTGCATTATGATCTTACTTAATTAAAATGAGCATTTTTATCTCACAGGAGGAAAAGGAAATCAGCAATAAGCCTAACAGTGATTACCTGAGTAATGGGACAATAAGTAATAGCTATTTTCTGTTTTGTATTTTAATATATTTCCTACTACAGACATGTCTTATTTTAATACCATAAAAGACAGAAATTATCTATGTCCTGTCCTTAGGGACACTATCTTATAACTGGGAAAATGGAGTATTCAGGAAACAGAACACATTTGAGTGCAAAGCTGTATGGTTACCCAAAAAATAAGGCTAATGTATGTGTGAGGAAGAAGAAAGTTGAAAGTTTATCTTTGTTCATATAAATATGGCAGATATTTAGCATCTAGTAAGAAAAAATACGTACATAATCCAAACCAAAGCTCGGGATTATAGTGAACTTTTCCCAAAGGAAATCAACCTCTTTCCCTGGTCATTTTTTTTCCAGGGTTTTCATTTGTCACCAGCATCAATCTGAAATGGAAACAGCATTTTAGTTTTAAAAGTGGATACATGTAGAAATAGTGCCTCCTAACATAAATGATTTCATTCAGTTCCATATTTAAAAAATAAGGGGCTGGTTTCTGTAAGTGTAAAGTAGCTGCGATTGCCCTTTCTACCTCAAATGGCCACACGGACTGTCAAGAGTAATCATTCCAATAAAGCTGGAATTATTGCAAAAAAAAAAGGGGGGGCTGGGGAGATAGCTCAGTGGGGCTGGGGAGCTCAGTAGAATAAGCGCTTGCGTGGCAAGTGCAAGGGTCTGAGTTCAATCCCCAGTTCTGAAAACAAACAAACAAACAAACAAACAAACAAAAACAATAAATAGCTATAGATAGCACACTATGCTTCTAAGACAGTGATAAGAATCAGAATCTAGGTTGCTTCTGAAAACAGCATTCTGGATATTATTTGCAGTTTTTGCAATTCCTCTGATTAGCAAATTTATTAAATTGTAAAAATAAATGAAAAGATTCACACAGCAGTATTTTCTCTGTAAGCAAGGAAAATGTAGCAAGATAGAGTGCTCTTAAATTAATAAGGAACTCAAATCATCCTTGAAGCACAATCACTTAAATGCATAGTTACACTTAGGAATTTATATAAATACTCATATTTCATTCATTCTAGGGTGCTATTAATTGTAAAGCTCACAATTTTTTTATGAGTCACTAAGAATTTTTTTTTAATTTTATTTATTTATTTATGTGGGGGGGGGACCAGCTCAGCCCAGCAGGGGGCGGGGCTGGCTGGCATGTGGTGCTGGGGGGTTGAACCATGGTCCCTGTGCTTTGCTAAGCTTGTTCTAAGTAGGTGCTTTAGACCACTGAGCCATCTCACCAGCCCCAAACTATGTAATATTTTTTTTCTTTTTTGGCAGTACCGGGGATTGAACTCAGATCCTTGCACTTGCCAGGGAAGTGCTTATTCCACTGAGCCATCTCCCCAGCTCAGAATTTAAAAGTGCTGCAAACTGAGCCATTGCTCATCAAATTGTAAGATGAATCCTGGTAAAATGTGGAAAATGTGCATTTTTGAACAAGTAAAATAGGACATACATGTTCTGAGCATTGATGAATGTCTGCTGCATCCCAGAGATGAGGCAGGCTGCAGGCTTTTGTCCACCTTTGTATCTCCGACTACACTAATACAGTTCTTGATAAATCCTCAAATGAATGAGTGAGTGAACAAACAAATGAATATGAACTGTAGGTCTAATGGGAGCTTTTCCTACATTCCAAGTTCCCCAATGATAAATGAAATAATACCTTTTAAAATCAGCATTAGTGGCTACAAAAATACTGCAAAATAACAATATTATCATCTGACATTTATTCTGAAGAGACATTTTCCATTTCTTTGGAAAGAAGTCTTGGATATGATTAAATTCTGATATATAAGAACCACCCACCTCTGTGTGAAACAGGTGAAGCTTGATTTGGGAAGTCTACATGAGTAAGCTGAGATGTTTAATATACCAAGTGAATGGGGTGGGGGAGAGCAAGCTGTTAGCGCCTCCTACTCTTCTCTGTTTTTAAAAGACTGCCAAATTCAGGGACTCTTTTACCTTTGAGAAAGACTTTCTATGCTTACTTTTATAGAATCCTATAATGGACATACTATTTTGTGTGTGTGTGTGTGTGTGTGTGTGTGTGTGTGTGTAGGCACTATTTATTTCTGCTATAGGAAAGACATTGATGGGGGAAAAAAACAATATCTTCATTTCGATCCATACAGCATATGATCTAAAGTGATTATCAGACTAAATTCTTATACAGAGACACACATGTAAGAGTTCTGTCTATTCTCCAAGGGAAGCTACACCATGGACTCCTGAAGTTATGCAGTAGGCTATTTCCTCCTCTGTCCTTCTGCTACATCTGTCCCAGGCCTCAGTCCTCTGAATAACTGTCACCATCCAACCACTGCCAAGTTCCGATGCAAAGTAGGCCACAGGGCTGGCTGGGCTCAACTAAAAATGTTCAAGATGGCAAATACATGAGAAAAAATCCTTGTCAGAAGAGGCTCTAGGTTTCACTTGCAGAGCGAGTCTCTAAATTAATTTTTGGAGCACAGCTTGTGCATCTAGGTGAGCTTCTGTGTAGCTAGGAACATGACCCGACATTCTGGACTTCTCGGCAGCCACTGACCAAGGAAGAGAAACCCACATTCGCTTACCTGCAAGTCTATCCACTTCACACTCTGAACTGAAAAACAATACTTTGTAGGTAGAACAAATACAGTCTTTAGTTTAAAAGTGTATTTGGGTTATAAAAGAGTCTGTTTATAGACCATGACAGTCAATCCTAATGGCTGGGGGAGGTATGTTGCTTGCTGTCAAGAAGTTTTTGTTGGCCGGGGAGATGGCTCAGTAGAATAAGCGCTTGCCTGGCAAGCTCAAGGGCCTGAATTCAATCCCTGGTTCTGCGAAAAAAAAAAAAAAAAAAAAAAAGTTTTTGTTTATGGGAAAGATAAACTTGCTCATAAATGAAACCATGATATTAAGGTAGAGAGACAGTGAGGGGCGTCTTCAGAGAGAAGCAAGGGAATCCTGCCAAGGGACTGGATTAATTCTGACTGAAAGCATCCAGAAATATTCATGGAAGAGAGTGTGCTGTGAAGGTCTAGAGAGGGGGCACAGGCAGAATCTACATGAAACAAATACTGGCCCCTATTTCAAAGGAGTTGAGTTATACATCCAACACTAGTGTGCTACATGCGACGAACACACACAGGTTCACATATGTATGGATACAGAATGATATGAGTTTGGTGCACATTGCAATTTATTCACAAATGTACATCTTGAACCACACAAAAATCTTAGAGGGATGACAGACTCTGTTGTAGGATGGTTAGCGGGACCACAGTCCTTGACATACAGAAGGATCTCTCTTTTTGTTGTTTTGTTTTTAATGTATTTGGTATAGGGTCTCACTACACAGCTGTGACTCGGAGTGATCCTCCAGTTTTCAGCCTCCCCAGCGCTGGGATTACAGGGTTGTGCCACCATGCCCACCTGGACTCGGTGGCTGGCTCAGTGTGCCTGGGTGCGGGGCCAGCGGGGCACGTGGTGCTGGGGATTGAACCCTGTCTCTCAGCTTGCCTAAGCAGGTGCTTAGTCTGCTGAGCTATCTTGTCGGCCCTCAGGATCTCTCTCAGTCACCCAAGCTGATCTCAAGCCTGAGATTCTACCTGGGAATCTGGACATGCATCACTACACTAATAGTCCTTAACTTCTTCAGGTTAAGAAGTCTTTCAAAACATGGCAGACATGACTCCCTCTCACCCTCTTCTAGTCTTGCTTCTTGTCTAGTCTGGCTTGTTCCTTCCCTAATTGTCCAGATGAGTGAGAAGTAGTGTCAGGGTCAGGTAAGAAAATGGCCACCAGCCATGGTGAGCACGCTTAAAGTCCCAGCACTTGGGAGGTTGAGGCAGGAGGATTGCTGTGAGTTCAAGGCCAGCCTCGGTTATATAGTGAGTATGAGGCCAGCTTAGATTACCCAGCAAGATCTGTCTTAAAAGAAAAAGAAGGAGG